TGGAGTGGCACTGAAATGAATTTTTTCAAACCCTGTCCAAACGTGTCGGCTTCCTTTATTTACGCTATTCATAGAGTTATATAATAAGTATGTTAGATACAAACCTATCATCTCAAATTCGAATGCCTTTTTTCCTTTTTTGGCGTCTGACCTTCTCTAACTCCGATACGACCCAAAACCTAGCTCCTTTGTTCCCAGATTGTTTATCGCATACGCACCTTGGCTCTCAAAGCGTAATCCTCAACGCAAATCCGCCAACTCATTCAATTCAGAAATACATCACATGTTTGATGAACAACTATCAGATTTCTTTATTGGACATTTGAACAGTATATAGGGTAATATCATTGACACTATAACTTGTAATCCTTGGTGGAATGTCATCCAGGTTTGCCGGTCAAATCTCCGATTTCTCGGAAGCCTCCTCAACCACGTTCGTCAGCCAAATTTTTTTTTTTTTACGTCATCCTGCAGAGAAACCATGTTTAAACATCGTTATGCCAAAAAGAATGCTGACCAAGATTGCCGCTCTGGTGACAGGCGAATACCGAGAGGGCAACGGATGTACGTATTAGGGAGGTGCTGAGGCCAATGGGGAGGAGATTGCCGAATGATGCTTGACCGACGGGTGGGCAAAGACAAATGTTACCGTCACGGAAAGATGTCATGATGTGCATATCTGGATGGAGGTACAATATATATTGCAGTGGGTCCCAATGGGTGCACCTGCTTAATTTATTATTTTACTTTTAAGGTATTAGATTTGTTGTTTCTGATTACGGAGAAAAGTGTTCGTTGTCGTACGCGAGTAATAAAGGACGTCCTTGAGAATGACCAAGACTTTTTTGAATAATACAGAGGGACAATACTATTTGTTACATCCACAAATGATGTGAGAGTTTACTCTTTATTTATCATTTCATTTAATTTCAATTTTTTTTTTAATTTTTTTTTTTTAGTCTTTCCCTTTATTATTTGACCTGTTTTTAGAAATCTTGTTTTTCTATAATCGGCAATCCGAAGTTGGAAACACTTAAATTGATGATAGAATGGGTTAAAGGAAGAAGGAAATTGTCGAATAACAAAAATGAATCACACAAAAATAGATCATGTTAAAGCGCAAATGGAAAACGGAAAATAATCAACGAATGAGCGATTGCCGTGAAATGGTTGTGACTCTTTGAATGAAACTGCCAGTAATGAGACAGACAGGTGAACGCAGGATGATGCATGTCACGATTCTAAAACCGCAAACGATGAAGGAAGGTATCGATCAATTAATTTTGACTAGGTGAATAAGCCAATTAGTCGTATGACATAACATGTAACAATAATTGAATTTATTGAAGAATAATTAGTCGACGCCAAGATTGAATGCCACAGTGGACGCTGCAAAAAATTTTTGATCTGAAAATTAATTAATTGTGCATCAATCGTTGTTTATTTATTAATTTCCTAATTTTATTAATGTGACATATATGTTTGATGCTATTTATTTGCACTATTTCAGTAATATAGAATGTTGTTTATATTTCTTTGCAGCATTTCAATGCCGAAAATATACTCTCATTATACCAAATTCCTCGCTTTTTTTGAAATATCTCTGAGGGGTCAGGAACAACTCTTTGATTGACCTTAATGAGAAATGTACTGTTTTCTTATATTTTCGCATATTTATTTGTCCCATTTCCTGTCCTATAGAAATCACGTACGTTTATATTGAGCGCACTAGTACTAATTAAATTTGTTCTAGTGTGACGAGTGCCATGGGTCGCACGGCAAAACTTTGTGACCACCCAATGGACCGATGTAACAAAATATTCAGTGAAAGAGAGAGAGACGTCGATCGGCCTTTAGCACGCATTGCATGAAAGGACAAGTAAATAAAGTGTAAAGGAAGTGCATGTCAAATCAAAATCTCAATGGGTATGGTCAGATTTAAATATTTGGTGAGCACGACGGAAATCCAGAAAAGTGATTGAGAATGCAAGAAATCGGGACTTTGAAAGATTCATGTAAGAAGTTGCCGTAAATAAGGAGCATTTCTCTCCGGTGAAAAAAAACAATACCAACATCTCCGATCACACACGGATCAGAAGAAATTAGAGCGCATCAAGAATGAAATCAGAAATTTTTTAATCATAAATGTACCGGCAATCACACATATTCAGATGCTGATTTCATTTGATTGCGCTGACGACTCCTTAAGGAAACCAATCCATCCGCACGCACGCACGCACACACCCATCAATCATAAAAAATGATAAATTATTATTCGATGATTTATTTAAGTGATTTCGTGGCAATATTATTATCATTCGATCACATTACCATTTCATGATGATATTAATTAGTGATTTGGAACACTTGCACACGAGGTCACGAGTCATGCGATGAAACAAACTTAATTCGTTATTACCTGATTTTTCAGATGATTACAATTTTGTGCTAACGAAGAATGGAAGCTGGGAATTTGGTCACCATTCGGCGAGCCTGAAATTCAACGCACACTGGACTCTGATTCTATATTCATTCGGAGCATCAAATACGTGAAATTTCCGAGGCGCCATTTAAAATTGCCATTTTGAGAACATAATAGGGTATGGGTAATTATGTTAAACAAAGTTAAATACATAAAGGCTTTTGCCGTAAGAGGGTCAGCTTCATCTTTATGAGCTGATTCTTTATGGTAAAATTTAATGTATCCAAAATCTATGGGGATTGACTTTTTAGTAAATTCCAATAAATTCCCAATATTTATTATTATTAATCTTTTGAGCAAATAAAGATGAAAAAAAAAAAAGCATTGCCCGAGTTGCACATCAGAATAGGCGGCACCCGGGTGCGCACTTATTATGTATTTTGGGAGAAAGAAGGATGTCTATGAAATGTTTATGCCCATCGTATAACAAAACACTTTGTTGCCAAATCTCCTCATCGCCCCCTTCTGACAATACTCCGCCCGCCCGTAAATAAAATGTTCATTTCGTTTCCGTAGCACTCATTTTTACTCATTTTATCCACAATCTTCCTTATTTATATTAGGTAATATCGCAATTGCATACTATTTACCATTTACGAAACCTTTATTCATATTTATTACACATTTACACCATTGTTGCTGACCATCGTACATATTAAGGTTACCATATTATGTGGTGAACGTAGTAGTCATGATTTTTTTTTAAGAAAAAAAATTTTTTTTGCTACCTATTTAAATCATTAATTTACTGCTATACATACGATGCCCACTTTATTAGATTAACCTGATTTGAACGCACGCATATATTCGATCCAGGGAATTGTTGCGTTACGACGCTTGATTAGTATTAGCGCCTTGTTGAACAATTTTAAATGAGGGGGGATCCCCAGTAATAAATTACATCATTTGATCTACCCTGAGCCCAAATAAGTCACGTACTGTTAAAAATTGATTTGCTATCATATTTATTACTATGACCGAGAATGAAAACGAAAAAAGAAATCTACAGAAAAGAAAGATGCTTCGACGGTGAAAGGCCCATTCGAACTGAAAGATTAAGGTCACTCCCAACATTCTACGTCGAATGTGATATCAATCAAATAAAGTGCTTCATTGAACGTTGATTCTTTAGATCGCATATGATATCAAATGTACGTAATTTATTATCTGAACGAGTCCTTTAATGTGCAGAACCATTTGCGTCTTTTCACATATAAACATGCTATCAAGGTTGATATAACACAGTACTCAGGAGGATAGATAAATTTGATTCTTAGGTAAACAGCAGGATCAATTTATCTACTGATAATATCAATTTCCATTTTAATTGGTAACGGGAATCGAAGATTTTGTTACTCCAAAAAAAACTTCATCGCTGCCATTTAAGTTTCATTTAATATGTCGGTTATTGTGATCGATCCGATTCCATGAGATTCGGAACCGTGTCATCCTCTGCACAAAAGGTGCATCCAAATAATTACGATGTATTCGTGAATGGTGTGAGCAGGACAGAAGGTGGCGGAGAGGTGACAGAGATGTCATAGAATACGACATCCAATACTGAAAGAAGAACAAGAGAGAAAAAATAAAAAAGGGAATGGTCGGTCTCTATGCACCGTTCGTCATTATTGATCAACCACTCGTGCGATCAATCATCATCACCGGTACAGAGAGATAAATGCGTTTGACGGTCGTCTGACGGTCCTTTTTCTAGTCCTCCAATCACCGTTCTATTTGTCACACGAGTGTTAGTTGTATGGAAAAGGAAATTTTTACGTCAGGAAGGCTGGTATGTGAAAGGGCTAATGAATTATCAACACGCACACCGTATCGTGGAGTTGGGATGTGGGACATGCACGGTGAATTGCGCGGGAGATTCTAGAATGAAAAAACTTGCGAGGAATTAAGAAAGACGCTAATAAACGTAATTTCCTGACCTACATTACATCTGACGAATCCGCATTCTCACCATCGAGTGCACCATCGTCGAGTCTCACATGATAATCCAATGAGAGCCCTTCTTCTTTTATTAACATTAAAGATGCATGCATCTTATGTATTTCTTGAATTTTTGTTAATAAATATGCATACGTATTATATGATTCTTGTTGCCGGATTTTTTATCGGCTGAACAAACATTAGCCTACATGCAGATGACACCTGATCGGATCAAAAAGATCTCCGAGAGGTTCATGCAAGAAACTGAGAATGATGATGATTCAAGGAAAAGAATTTTAAAGGGTTATGCGTTCAAGCTTTAAGGCAAAAGTGCAAAGTCATAATCGCAGGAGAAAGACAGATTAAAATTTCCGGTGATCACCGTTATTAGATTGAGGTGACAATGAATCCTTTAATTAAAGTTTAGCCAGTTACTTCATCCCTCGTTAACACTTTCTTTATTCGCACCATCCAATCTGGTGATATTTCCTTTTAGCGACGTGGATTCATTTTTCAATGGTAATGGTTTCTTTTAATGGCGATTTCATTTATGTCATTTTCTTACTAACGTTCACTATAAAGTTTCCATAAGTGATGCCTATGACTCGATTGTTGGCGCTTTCGCTATTGCCCAAACCTCCTTGATAAATCCATCGATTCTCTTCATAGGCGATCGACTCCATCTTATTGATGCTTCTTTATAAACCATAGCGTTCTTTATCGCCCCCAGTGGTCCATTTCTCGAAATGTTCATATTGAACTTCCCTATTGGCAATTGCTGTGTTCATGTTCACCGATGGCAGAATGAACGAGAAATCCTGATTTCACCCGTCACCGGTTGCTACTATTTTCGTCTTTCATTAAAACCCCTTGAACGGTCCTACACGTAACCAATTCTTAATTTTCAATTTCTTTACTATATGTGGAAGCGAAGTAGCCTCCCATCATGATGACCTCTTTTTTTTTTTTTTAAAATGATATTCTTCTTAATAATATTATTTCTTTTATTAGTATCACCATTGTCTCTTATTACATCGCTATTTTTTGATTTGCTTTATTAACCACATCGTCATCTAATTCTTTTTTTTTTTAAAGATTATATCCTTATCCGTGACCCATTTTCTTTAATTATCCAATCGTGGCTCATTTCCTTTTATTAAATGTTCTTATTTGATTACTCACTTCCTTTCTCGTATTGTTCATCTGAATAAATGTGATCTCGTCTCTTTTATTATTATCTCCTTAATAATTCATCGTTAATTGTCCGTTTAACGGATCTCACAGGCATCCATCTTTGCTTTTTTCTTACCTTCACCTCGTGTTCTCATTGTTCCCAGCAACATACAATTTGCATGGAATCAAGGAATAATCTCGTGTGATGTGTAATCGTTCATGGGAGAAATGATTGTGCGAATTTTAAGGAAGTACGCAATGGAATATTTTTGGTGTTTAGGGGATTTGATTGGGTGATTTGGGGGGATTATTGATCACACCTGTCCTCTGGGATTGTATGATTCCGGTTGCGAGCCGGACGAGAAGCAGGTTTTGACGACGATAATATAATAATAGTAATGATGATACAAAAATTGATTCAATAAACGCATAATATTAACGTTGAGTTGTGCTCACGTATGCACGCACCTAACGATGGATAATATTACATGACCAAAAAAAAAAAGCATTATGTCGAAAAAGGGGAATAACTCGCTTTTTTTTGTTTAAAAAGAGAGCAAAGGTGTTACAAGAGACACCACCAAAGGCATAAGTTTTCTCGTGATCATCTCTAAGAATATTCTGTGAGCAGAAGGTTCGCCTTGAAGTCGAAATTCAAAAGGAACATCGCGTGGAAACAAACTAAACATGTTTATGACAATGTAATTGTGCGATTGAAGAGTGAAAAAAGGTTGCAATGACCGTCCATTCGCAACCGTTTCCTCCGCCGGGAACTCGGTGATCATACCTCCAATATCAAATCGTAACAGGCAAATATGAGGCAACGACACGTACCACCTTGACGTCATTTTAAATCACGATGGTCAAACGAGATGCGATTCAATTTCTTGTCAACGCCGAAATTATATGCTATCTTGGTAACCGGGAAATCGCACGTACACTATGACGAAAAAAACCCATCCATTCTGGAACATGGCAAGCAAAGCCCGTTGACCGACCGGCGGCGCCGGGCGTCGTGATTGATTTAATTATTGGTTTTGATTATTTCTAATTCTGATATTTCTAAATACAACTAATTCCAACTACAAGACTATGTACTTACTCAGATTATTTACGTACGTACGTACATACTTACACAATGGCTGCTGGACTCTCGGTCTTTACCAATATCATACAGCCCATCCATATATATATATATACATTTATATATTTAAATGAGTAAATTCGTTTGTACAGATTTATGTGAAATTGGCGTGGTTTCCTAATGCACAAATATGACACATCCATCCATCCGTCGACGATGACACGCCGCCCGATGTTCACTGTTACGCCATTGCAACATTTACATGTAACAGGTGCTTTGTTTAGCCGCATTCCTTACCAACAAGGTCGGAAACAAGAATAAGGAAACACATGTTTTATATGCGTTTTCAATCGTCACATCACCTCGCCGCAATCATACCATCTGCCGCTTTCTTTTATCTTACCAAAAATGAATCGGTCCAATCGGTTATCAATGATGAACATTATTATTTATTGTTCACTTGAAAAAATGAAGAAAATTCGAACCATTGGACGACTCAAGTCAACCGGGGCATTAGCATATATGTAGTAATAGCATAAAGGCCTTCTTATAGAGGGTATGATGGGAGAGAGGAGGTCAGGTCAGGGTTGATGGGTGGGTTAGGTCATGCGACAGGATTAATGACGGAAAATAAGTGAATAGGAATATGACATTATTGGCCGTATGGGCGCATTAATGTAATAATTAATAATAATAAGGAATTTGCCATTTCGATGATATTACCATTTATAGAATTTCCCGACCAGGCTTACATCATCTGCAACGAAACTAGGAAACCTTCTGTGGTGTATTGTATGGTAATATTGGAAATAAATTCCCTGATGGTGAAAAAGTGGTTCGCCTCGTTGTTTTGTTTCTCGTTGTCTTTTCCTTTTGGCTAAAGTGTCGGCGGTGGTTGTTCTACTTGCTACAATTATTGGTCGCAATTATTTGCCTTTTCCTGTTAGAAGGGGTACTGTATGAAATTTTGTTGCCCATACTTTCCTCAAATATCTGCTACGGTTGAGATGGCAAGATGGTCTTACACAAATCGTGCTTGCGTCGAATGACTCGAGTTTTAAATTTTCTCCACTTTGATAAACGAAGCTAGTGAGAGGGGGCGGTGAAATGACCAAAATAAACTGGAGCCAATAACTCGTTAATAATAATAGAAAAAAAAAAAAAAATAATAAATTATTTTTATTATTATTTTATTAATAACTCCGCAAATTACGTCTAACGAAAAACCAATTACTCGGCATATCATTAAATCAAATTATGTATGTGCACACCCAAGGATTTGACTCTGACTATGTGCTAGACGCAGTGTTAGACGTCCGACTTGCCGCCCATTTGCTTCCTAGTAAATTATCATCATCAATTCATCAATCATCATGATACACAGGTCCCTATTGACATAATATCATTTACGCACGTATAAAAAAATCTTTTTTTTTTTTTCAATTGTTCGTTTACTTTATTTATTTATACATCAATTTCACTTATACATACAATAAATATCTTTTTGTAGAAATTACTTAGCAATACTATAAATGTAATAATAATGTATATGTGTTGTAGTAACAATAATAATAATAGTAAATCTAATATAAAAAAAATTTATGGTTGTTTGGGTCGAAAGCGACTCCTGATTTTCCGGTATGTATTTTTTTTTTTTTTTTCTTTTGTGAAAACTTTTTTTATTTATATTGTGCATGTATAATAAACCGTTGTATATAATAATAATAAGGATCTATGTTTTTTTTTTTTATATATATAAAAATTCAATTCCGAATAAATTAATATAAAGGCACAGAAATTCCTTTCTGTGTTGTGGTAAAAAAAAGTCGAAATTTTTTTTTTTTTATAACTATACAAAACAAAACATTCCATTTACTCGTCATACTCCAAAAAAAAATAAAAGAGAGACAACGGACCACTTCCGCTGCCTACCATCACCGTCTTCCACGAAAACAAAATACTTTATATGTGTGATGGTCATTATTATTTAATTATTATAATTAATAGGACTTTTTTTTTGCTTTATCAATCAAATCGCGGAAGAACGCGATTTTTATTATACCAAATCAGATTTTTATTTGGTCACTCTCCACTTTGTTTCCTTTGCCTCTTTGATTTTTATAAATACCTGTTCACCCTCTAAAAAAAAAAAAAAAAAAAAACCCCAAAAACAAACACACTCAAACTCTTTTTAACAAGTTCTCGTCCCTACAATCCTCGATACAGCAAGAGAAGCCATATTGTTCACAAGATTTGGATGATATATTCTTCTGGAACCTATAATCTTCACTTTTAAAAAATTCCGAATCAACTTATCTTTCCTGGGCTTCGCTGAGAGGACTGAAAGAAAAATCACAATGTCCAGTACAGCCGCTATTAAAATCTTGATTAGTGGACCTATCACTCATCAAATGATTGGTATGTGCTTGGTCTCGAATTCACAACTTCTTCGCGTTGACATTACCTTTACACGTTTCGCTAATCAAATTTGTCCTCTTTAACCGCAAAATAGCTCATGTTGCCCAAAAAGCGGCCGAGGTGATCCCTTGCGATCCGCCGCCACACTTAAACGGTTCCTCACAAGCAAAGCCGCCAACACCAACAAGCGCCAACACCATCGCGGGGAGCGTTAAAAACAGTAGCGGTAATGTCACCACGAGTCACACGGCGGCTACAACGCATTCTCACACGCTTGGCGAAGAGGACCAACAGCCCTTGCCTCCTCTCCTTTCATTCATACAACGATTGGTGATAAAGTCGAATGTATCAACTGCCACATTCCTCACAACCCTCGTGTATTTGGCAAGGCTAAAGAATAAGTTACCAAAGCTTGCAAGAGGTATTTATTCATTATTTCTTCTTCGATTCCACTTTTCATCGCCAAGGATCATGAAAAGAAGAGGTCTTGAACTCGACGGTTTGAAATCACATGACTTGGTATTGTGACACGGCAAATTGTCGTGTAACCATGTGCAAGATATCAACGAAAGAAATGAGTAGAGAATATAATTTTCTGCATGAACATCAATAATTGGTGGAACTTCATTGCCCAGAAGACTTTATTATATTGTAAATACTGTTGTGTTAAATTTGGATTTGCAGTCAACTATCAGTTCATTCAGGCCTTGTTTGCTTGCACCTCTTCTTTTGATTTTTTCTATCGAGCTCCCTTTATCGTATCAATCTACATTTTCTAATCCGAAACCACCCTTCCTTATAGGAATGCACTGCACGCGCCACCGGGTATTTCTCGCTACCCTGATAGTCGCATCGTAAGTTATCTCTTTACACTTTGCCAATATTTCATTTATTCATCGAATGAATTTCCAAATAAGTCACCACCATTGCTTATCTTTCCCTAATCGCACTCTTACTAATCATACATTTCGATTGTTCTCTGCAGAAAATATTTGAATGACTCCTCTCCAAGAAATAAGTATTGGGCCAAGTTTTCGGGCGTATATACTGTAGCCAAGGTCAACCTCATGGAAAGGCAGCTATTGTCCCTGTTGGATTATGACCTTCGTGTGCAAGAGTCGGATCTCGAATTACATCTTGCACCCTTTTTAAAACAAATACAATCACTCAATTTCGGTCATGCCATAAGGATAGAAGCTCTAAGATTACCCAGTCTCAGACATATTCATCATCGCACACTTTCTCATCCGCGCCCACGTCCACGCATACACTCCCCGTCCTCAAAACTACCAACCTCACATCATCATTGTATAACCCCACCACGGAGGCACAACTCATATCCTCTCCGAGAGAGTACACGTGTCTCATTGAAGCCGTCTATATATAACACACCCATAACCCCGATGTCAATACTCACTCCCAGTTATAACGGAAGCAATAATGTCGTCAACTTTCCACAGCATTTGCACGCCTCCATCAAAAATGCCAACAATCCGATCATCGTTACCACTCCTGCTGACAACAAAAACAGTGGCAATAATAATGAAATCTTCTTTCAATCAACCCCAAACTGCATCGATGAACACTTTCAATCAACCCCAAAATTCATCGGTGGACACTTTCAATCTACCCCAAACTGCATCGACGAACACTTTCCCGATAACACAAGTGATGATTCTCAAGTAGGCATGAGTACGGACATGGATACCGATGAAGATGAAGAAAATCATTCATCCGGGGAGGAGAAACGAGTCGTCTACGATGAACCCACCTTAGCTACGTTTGACGAATTATGCAAGCGGTTCCCGTTAACGGGATCTGCGAGAGATCAACACGGACGAAGAACCTCGACTTCTTCGAACTCCACCTGCTCCTCATCCTCCTCCTGTTCGTCATCATCATCGATAAACACTCCAGTTACATCGAACACTCAACAACCCCCTCAACAGTATCAATCCCAATATTATCAATTAAAACATCAACAACCATCACAACAACTTTCATTCATTCCTTCACTTCATCCACAGCAATGGAACTGTCAGACATTACCCAAATCGACATCCCCATCTACCATCGCCAACGCGAACCTGCCAGACGCTGGCGTCTTGCACTTCCCTTCCTATTGCAGTGGTCATAATAATAAGATGGTTCTACCACCAATATCATCC